CCCGCGCGCCCCGGTGTCAGCTGCGGCCCGGCTCCTGCCCCCGGGGCTGTGTCCGGAGCGGCTGCTGCCCCACTTTGCCCCCAACTGGTCCGAGAAACGACGGGGATCCAGCTGCTGAACCAGGGCTGGGCTCAAATTCCACGAGGATGCTCGCCACTGTCCCCTTTACCGCCCCGCAGGGACGGCGCGTCCGTCCCCTGTGCTAACTGGAAAGGCTGGACAGTGGCTGAGTACAGTATGGGAATAATGTCCTCTGTGCATTAAGGAGAGCATGACTCATCCTTGATTTTGAAGAAGAGACGACTGGGCTCCCCTGGAGAAGTTCAGTCCGGCCCCAGACAGCCCTGCCAAATTCTCCCTTACATTCTGAGCAGTCTTCCACATGACAATGTCACGCATGTCTCTAGGACACTTCTACAGTACATCACTTGTCATGTTTGTCTCAGCACGGGCGATGCCGTGATTGGAAGTGAAAGGACAGTTCTGTCTTGCCTTTTTCAAGAGCCGAGGGTCTCGGCCAATAGCAGAAACTGAGAGGACCATGAGGATGGGAGACCACGAGGAAATCCCACAGCTTCAGACTAGACTGGGACGTTAGAAAATCGCCCTGGAAGGAGGAAGTGGTCCACCGCTTCCACATATCCAAGAAAACTCCTTAAATATGTCCATCGGATCAGGAGTCTTGGCTTGTAGGAGAGTTTATGTTTAATAGGATTGGAGGCTTAACTGGTACAAAAGAAAGGTATCGCCTTGTTCAGGGGACCCACGAGGCTTGCATAAATAGAAAATACACATGTATACAAGCTAAAGCGACACCCGTACTCATCCAAGCAGGACTAAGCACAATTGGAAGCTGCTATTACATTTTTGCAAAATGCCAACTGGGGGGAAAAGCTGGAAACATTTGGGTGCTCTGGCATCCTGGAAGAGAGCATCGAAAGAAAAACAGAGCAAGGGAACATGGCCACGTTTTGGGAGCGGTTCTCGTCATTTGGCCTCCTCCCACCAGATGCCTCTAGGTAATTGGGAGTTCGACTCACGTATCTGCCAGTTAGTGCTGCCAACGACTGTGCTAGATACGAGTTCGGGGAACTCGGCTCATCTGGGAACATGATGCTTGGGATGGCCGCTGCGATGAACAGCTGCTGAAGTGCTGCTGTTGAAATTGCAGGGGCTTGTGATTGTCGCGTTCAGGCTGATGGAGGAAAGGGCATTTTTCTAGCTCATGAGCTGGCCGTGCATCATTGGGTAACCCTAAGGTCTGCTGTCAGGCGGGAGAAGGAAAAATATTTATTTTCTTGCCCAGCGCGCATGCATTTCTCATTTTTTTTCGCATGGTCCTTTGGATTTCCTCCCTGCATGCAAAAAAGAAAACACGTACGTACCTACGACGGCTCCTGCGTGACTGCTGGGAAGGAGAGGACCTGAAGGGCTTGGTCCAAAGGCCCCGTGATAGACTTGGTGCTAGGACTTGTCACTCTGCAAATCAACCAGCCATGTTTTAGCCTGGTGGGTTGTGGGAGCCCAGTGCATGGGGTGCCTTTCTGATTCAGTGTGTGGTGAGTAGTCTGAAAACAGAGGTGGATAAACCATAGGGCAGGTTACGACGAGGAGCAAGCCGCGTGGCAGAGAAATTGAGTAGCAGCGGCTTCAAGTGCCATCGGAAATCATCTCTGAACTCACGTTAGAGCAAATTCCCAACTTTAGGACTTCTCTACAGCAGCATTTCCCAACCTGATGTGTTAGACTACAACAACCATAATCAGGGAATTATGAGACGTGCCATCCAGCCAATCCGGAGGCTGGCTGGTTGGGGAAAAGGGCTCCAGACAGCCCCCTCCTTTTCTCTCCATGCAAGCCCCTCAAGGTTTCCGGCAAAAGAATAAATCCGGTGAGATTTTCATTCTCTTTCCCTGTTGCGTTCCGTTTAACCCAGCGGTTGATTTAAAGAGCCTTAAACGTCCCCCTTTGATTTCCAGAATTTAACTCGCTTAGTTGCAGCCTTTCTGACACCTTTATTTGCAGGCTGAAGGGGTGTGAGATGATTTAGGGGTGTTCACGCAAGTGCTTTCAATCTCTCTCTTTAATATTGCATGCTGTTTTTTTAGGGGGGGGAGAAACAATGATCTGTGTCTTTCGGTGCCAGACCTGACCTGCAGGTCTGTGCACTGCAGTAGGGCTCTGCAAAATAAATGCTTTTTTGTTTATCTTCCCAGCACCCGCCTTCCGTATCAAAGATGGCAGAGTGTCACGCCAGCATTTTGCCTCATAGGTGCCAACGCTTTTCTGCCAGGGAGAGGAGGAAACAACTTGGCCAATTTGCTCTCGGAGGATGTTCTTATTTCTAAACAGCAGAAGAAAGAAATTAAGGATTCAGAGGGTGGGTGTGTGCTAGAAGTCGGGGTGAGCAGGAGAGGGAATAAGAAACATTGTGCAAATGGCCTGCATTTATATGTTTTACGTGCCCCGGTTGAGTTGGCGTGGGGAGAAGGAAGCAGAAAGAGAGGGGGGAACGTGCTTTAAAAACCCAGAAGGAGTCCCTGGTAGGGAAAAAGGAGGATTTGAAAAAGAGGGACATATGGTTTAGCATCCAGGTACTAGTACAGGTAGTCCCTGGCTTAAGAACGCCTGGGTTACAGACAACCCATAGAATGGATCCTATTGTAGCAGAATTCAAGTTAAATCCACCATGGTTCAAGTTCCTTGCACAATACTACTTACACAGTATTATACAATCATACTGTTCCGACTTACGTACAAATTCGACTTAAGGACGGACCTTGGGAACAGAACTCGTTCTTAAACTGGACCCCCCCTGTAATGCTGAAGAATAAAGAGCACGGGCTAAGTGATTTTAGCGCCAAAAAAAATTACAAACAATCCGCTCCGATTTGGGATTAAGATCAAGAGTTTTCAGGACGTGAGTCCCAGGTGGTCTTGAACCTTTTTCAGACTGAAGGATAGGAATTTTTAATTGTATGAAACGGTGGCAAGAAATGACAGAAGGGTAGAACCAAAAGATCTTTTTGCTGGCCCGGTCTAGGCATAGGGTCTCCTGCCTCCTGAAGGAAAAGTTTCTGTGTCTGAAATCACTTATTTAACAACCCTGAAATTTCACTATAGCCCACATAGGCCAGGAATGTTCTTCCACTCCTATCTGGAGCTTCTTTCTCTGTTTGCTATTTTTGATCAGAGTCTGGAGCAGTGTTTCTCAACCTTGGGGACTTTAAGATGTGTGGACTTCAACTCCCAGAATTCCCC